TTTTATTGGGGAATTGGGGAAGGGGAACAGCCAAGTTGTTGCCCTTCAATCTTAGTTGTGAAGGGCTCAGCTAGCTCAGCTCCAAGTCCAGTTGCCATCCGGCTGCCCGGCCGCAGCTTGCGGCCACTCAGCTCAAGGTGCCGTGTTTAATCTTAGTTGCGGGTGGGCATAGCCCACCATCCCATGCGGGAGTCGAGCCGGCAAAGTTGTTGTTAGGAGCATGTGCTCTGACCAGCTGAGCCATTCTGCCACCTATTGGCAGCTCAGCAGCAGCTCAGCTCAGGCGCAGCTCACTGGCCCATGTGGGAATTGAACTGGCGACCCTGTTGCTCAGAGCTTGCGCTCTTAACCAACTGAGCCACTCGGCCAGCCCTAAAATCTTATATTTTGAAACAAGTGAATTAATTATTATCAAAAAGCATATAGAAAGCCCAGAAAATTCTTTAGGACCCAACTCAAGCTCAGCACAAACTGTGAGGTCCTCTCTTAAAGGCTAGTTTCATAGCTGGCACTGAAATTGTTTACCCTCTTTTATACCTTTTTTTCTTTTCTTTTTTTTTTAAGAGTGTCACCCTCAAGATATCCACAGAAATCAATGATGACTTTTGAAGAAAGAAGCATTATATCTTCCTCAATGAAAGTCATAGACAATTTCCGGAAGTGGAGTGGGGGAAAGACAGGGTTTTCATGCTGCCCTGAGTGGCATACGTCTGTGGCACTTCAGGACTTGAACTTAATAATTCCCACTAGTTGTATTATTTCCAAAGGTATGTTTTCCCAGAGAATGTAGAGCATTTATGACATTGTAGCAATGTTTTTATAATTTTCTAAATAGACACTTTTTTTATATGTGCAAATTCATTACAGAAAAGGCGTTACAAAAATCGGAGAACTCTTATTTTTGTACAGGTTTTGTGTGTGTGTGTGTGTGTGTGTGTGTGTGAGTGTGTGAGAAATTTCTGGAAATACACTAAAAGAAATTTGTTGACAAAAAGTTAAAAATTGGGGGATATTCCTTTTTTTAAATTCCATTTTTAGATAACGAGCTGTATACTTTTCTATCCTGAGAATATTTGTAAAATTCAATGTATGGTGATCATAAAGATTCAGTTAATAAATGAACACTAAATAAGATACCCTGATTTTTAGATGAACTAAACAAAATGCTTCCACTGAAAAGCCTTAATACCACTATGCACATTAACTCTAGTGAACACAGAAGACCTCAGTTTTGAAATGCCACACTGCTCAGCACCCTTGCTCACAAGAGCTGGAGTTTTTACCTTTGCTGTAATTGGCAGTCTGTAGTGGGCATAATTTCAGGTGGGATGGATTCAGCAACGCTGGTTCAAGATCAAAAACCGTATAACAAGTGGGTAAAATGGAGGAGAGCAACTCACAGGAAAACCTCTTGCTTCCGGATTGCTCTTTGCTAAATGAGCACGGAGGGAGAGCATGTCTCCCGGAATGTTGCTGGAAGTGAGGGTTATGGGAAGGAGACTTTTGCTTCCCACTAAACGTCTGCAAAACCAACCTGTGAAAATCATTACAAATGTGTAATTTGTAAACCCACCCTTGACGGTTACTGGCGTAAGTTGATAGATAGTCTGACTGGGAAGCTGAAACTTACATCTCGAATTCATCTTATGCCAGTAAACATGTCAGTGGTCCCAGAGAGAAGGGGAAGGAGTGGGTGTGGGGTACACCTTATGCGCACCTCCTTGTAATGCGTGTGGCTGGATGTTTACACACTGTATGAAATCTGAGGATCTCTGCGACGACAAACTGTCTCCCCTAAGCGCCCAGCAGTGAGAACCTGAGAACCATTCCTTGTAACTTGTCATAATGGTGTGGATCCCCATTGTCACATTGGAACTGAAAGACTGATGAAAGCCATGTCAAGCGTTTGTTATTCCGAAGCGGAGGTGGAACATCACATACCTTTACAGTGGAAACTGGAGTACAATGAATTCCTGGTTGTCTTCACTTTGAACACACTTTTGTTATCAGCGCTTCTCATGACGCATTACATTCTTCATTTCCACATCTCTCTGTGAGATTAGATTGGGAGCCACTTGAGGGCAGAGGATGTGCCTTGATCTTTCTCTCTATAACTCTAGCATTTAACTGGGTACCTCCTGGTACACAGCAGGTGCTTAATAAATACTGAATGCATGAATGAAGGAGTGAACAAATAAGGGAATGACTAGAGATATTTGTCGTGTTGTCTAATGAGATTTACTCCGGTTTACTACTAAGTGATAAACCAATAGTCTGTATCACCCAGTAACGCTGACTATTCTGCTTTGTGTACTGTAAACATTTCAGTTGTTTGGGCTTCACCATTCAGTGACAGCTGTCTTCAACCTGGACATTTACCACAGAAATTGTTACATGGGCTGGACAAAATGGTACATCTGGCTTGGCAAACTGAGAAGGCCAAAATTCACTGCGGACAATCACATTCTGCTGCTTCCATGCAGCCTCTAAAGCTGGTCTTATCCACATGTTGATATTCTTTCTGACTTCCATGAACTTGCATTGCCTTGGACCTCATGACTGAAAGAGTAAAATATAATGAAGTATTTCTTTATTTTGGTAATTTGTGTCTCTGTTACCATATGTCACCTGAGTAGTAAAGTGAAGTGTATTCATCCAGGAAACAATTCAAGTTCCATTGGATTTTATACAGGTATAGTTTAAACATCATGTTTTCTTTTTTTTTNCTCTAGTTCCATCCATGTTGTTACCAAGGGTACTATAATAAGAAATTTTTAAAAAGCGCTTCCGGAAAGTAAGACCTTACAGCAGAGCAGTCTCAGATGTACTTTTCTTTTTTACCACTAGGAGGAGACCTTTCCCCACAAATCAGACACAAACCAGCTGCTGGGAAGGATTCACCAAATTATATCCCTAGGCAGTTATAAAAATCTTTTTTCATTTCATTTTCCATCTTAAAAATGTGAAAAGTACCTGTTTTTTTAAATTTACTCCATTAATTACCATGCCTTTCTTGTATTGCTTTGCGTCCTGTTCCCAATATTAATGAACGCAAAGAAAAGCCTTTACATTAATTCACTAAATAGAATAATCATTTCGGCACTGCCTCAAGCTAATATGTGGTGCTTTAGAGCTTTCATAGCACATTCCTGTGCATCGACTTACTTGGTAAGGTGGGCAAGAATTATGTCATTGTCGCATTTTACATAGCAAGGAGATTAGAGCTTTGCCTGCATTCACATGTGTAGTGGAGTCTGGACTTCTGGTTCAATGCACTTTCATTAATATGCTACAGAAATACCTGCCAAAAGTTCCTAACCCACCTTCACTGTCCAAGGATGATATGGGATGGGGCACATCCCTGGTGCTGTCACCAAAAGGAGGCAGCCTGTGTTCTCTACCACTTCATGGAGGCTGGTCAGGTCCTCCTCAGTGTGACCCAAATGAGAACAGTGGATGGGAATGTCCACGAGGACAGCAAGGACAGGTGTCTGCGAGAGTTTGAGGTGCCTGGAGGAAATCTTTGCGGATGAAAATTGGATCAAAGAAAACAAATGTCACCATAAAACCAACCTGCAATTCAGCACATTTGATTATTCACACCTGTAACCTATAGCCAAACAGAAAGTGAAATGGGGGGAAAAAGTGTCATTATTTGAAATCAGCGGGGTCCACCTGATAGTCAACAGGCCTCATTTTGCAAGTGGGCTAACGTCAGAATGAAGACGTTATTTTTTTACTTAAATGGTATTTTAAAATGCTTTTTAAAAAGTAGTTTCCAGCATTTAAAAATCAGGATCTCTCTCTCTCTAACACACACACACACACACACACACACACACACACACACACACTTTTTCTTTTAACCTCTTTGAAAGCAAATGGATCATAGTTTCCCATCTGGTGAAAATTGAATTGAGCTGATGAGGCATGGGCTTCCCATTTTCTCTCCCATTTTGCAACCATCAGTTTCATTTCTTTTTATTAATCTCCTGGCCTCCATAGACAGCTGACTTTGGAACCCTCAAGTAAAGCCATTCTCATTCTTGCCTTCTGTTTTCTCATTCCTGCCCCAAGAAGGTAGTCAGTGAACATGTAGATGTCTCATTAGCATTTGCTTTTTAGCTATGTTTTCCTTACCCTGTTAAGCAGAACTGTTTTCTGAAGTGACATTTTCTATGGCAGTAGAGACACACAAAACCCAGTGGTGACAGTCAGCCAGTTTCCTCTAGATGCATATACTCATTCTTTCAGATAACCACACGAACGTTGACTGCCTTTCAGCTTGGGGATTCCCAGCTTTGGCAAAGCAAGCCCTGCCTTGTATGGAGCACTCTGTCTTCTGTTGAATCCGTATTTGCTTCCCAGTCTCAGCCATTTGGTGGTTCTTATTCTGCTTTTTGAAACTATTTGATAGATAGGTAAGCGTTAAAGCCAGAGTGTGTGAGTGCCAGAGAGCACTTTTGGAATGATCGTATTCCTGTTCTCGTTGGGCGGGGCCCTCCTGTTCACCCACACGGCCTCGCTTTACTGTGTCGCCTCACAGGGTGACTGATGCTCACTGCACAGCTTTTCACTCTGGTCTGACCTTCTCATTGTTATTTCAGTACCGCTCAGGTGAATCGGTTTAGGCTAAATTCTGTTTCTTTATTGTTGCTACTAGGATTACGTATATCACGTAGTGAGTGCGATCTGTGAATGGACAGTGGCCTTTGGTTTCATTTTCTACTTCCTAACATTCATCCATGATTTCCAGGTAGGTGTTTATCAATTCAGATCTTATAAATTGCTGGCACATAGGATTGTTAAAACCATAGAAAATTCCTTGCATTAAAAAGAGCACTGTGTTTCTCTTTTTATCCTTACGTGTTTGGAAAAATAGTATCATACAACTTAGTTTATTCCAAAGGCAAACAGCTTTAATCATTCTCCCAACCAGTGAAACCTTTACATGTCCTCTGCCATTTGATGCTTGTAGTCATACATCTGGTTATTTCCTTTTTGAGGAAGGTTCACTTAGTGGTTCCAAATAATAGGAAGTATGTCTTTTAAAAAAATAAAAGTGTGTGGTTGAAAAATGTTCCCAAGACAGAGAGAAGGTGGGACCTGATTAAATGTGGCCACAGGTAAAATCATATATATATATATATATATAT